TGTCTTTGCTAAGTAACTAGAAATTATTATAGTTGTAGAGCAGGTGACCAGTTAATGGCAAAACTAATAAATAAACTGACATCTAATAAGCAGGCATATATCCAAGGGGGTAGCCAAAATCACCGGAAAAATAACCTTGACTTTGAAAACAAATAAGTCAGAAATGTATTATTTGCACTTAATGGTTTGTGTTTGTCTTGGCCCTTCTTTCTAACTCAGTCATACTCTCCAGAGCCTGGGCTCCACTAGTGAAGAACTCCCTACCTCCCCACTCCCCCTGCTTTCTCAGTTTGCACACTTGGCCCTTCTTTCCCCTAGGAAAGGATATGATTCAGGGTCAATGGTCAATCACTCCCCACCACATACAAATATGCCTCAAAATAACTTTATTCTGGAAATATTTGTTTATGCCTACTCTGTAATTGACACTGACCTATGGTTCACTTCATTATTTCCTTCCATTTTATTTATTACTGAAGCACCTGAGGGTATGGCTAAAGCATTGTATCCAAATATGCCTAGAGTGGGTTATACATCAGTCCCGTTTTTTGTCATTAATGCTATTGTATTGTTGCATTAACTTGTCAACATAGTAAGCCAGTTTTTAAAATAATTATTTATTTAAATTATTTTTTATTATTATTAATTTGACCAGAGAGAGAGAGAGATAGACAGTGAGGTGGGGGGTGGGGGGAGTGAGAAAGCAAGCCAATGGGTCCTGGACTTGAATTGTAGGAGTCTAGCGCCTTAACCACCATGCCACCTGCCAGCCCCAGTAAGCCAGTTTTTATTAAATGAAACATGGCAGGTAACTTTTGATGTGACAGAGATGAGAAGGAAAGGTGTATACCGTGGGAGGTGAGGATAGATGGAAAGGAGGAGCTGGGATGGGTTTCACCTTTAAGGTCATGGATGAGAAGAGCACAGAAAGTGGTTTTCAAATCCCCATCACCATAGAGGTTTGACCTTGTCCCAACAGGAGAAAGACCACTCTCCATATAACCCACACAACATAGAACCACCCTGTGGCCCATTCCAACATGGAGCTACCATTAAATAAAACACCAGGTCAAAGTAGAAAAGAACTAAAAGGCAATTTAAATCGTTACTGGTATCTACTGAAAAATATCTAAGAAAGTTTGCATTTTTAACCACAGTTACACATCCTAAAATCCTCTCTCAATGTTCTCTTTATCCTCTCAAACTTTACAATACTCTCCAAAAACTTGGCCTAGGGATAGTTTTAGTTTTGTTTTGTTTTGTTGTGTTGTGTCTGCCCTCCCCCTCCTTTCCTTCTGCTTCCTGAGGAAATGGAATCGCTAATTTTTGCAGCTCTCCCTTTTACTCCTATCACCAAGGCTTCTTTCTCCAGGTGGGAGACACAATGGCAAGTGGGGGAAGGGCGAAAGAAGAGGATACCATCAATACTTAGACTTTCCTTTCACCCATCCCAAGTGCACTTACACTAATCTCCCTTATCTATGGTGGATATGTTCCAAGACCCCTGAATGCATGGAACTGAGAATAGTAGAAAATGTACTCCTTTTTCTCTTCTGTACTACTATGTGTGTGTGTGTGTGTATATATATATACACACACACACACACACGTACATACATACCTATGGTGAAGTTTATGTTAGGCACAGTAAGAGATAAATAGCAATAACGAATAATAAAAATAAGGAGATTAACAGTTACATACTCTAGGGACCAGCAGTTAGCGTAATGGCTATGTCGCTGGACTCCCATGTAGTCGACCACAGTTCGAGTCCCGGACCCGGTGGCTTAAAACTCACGTCGGGCGCATGTGCGTGCGTGGCCAAGATCCCGAGAGGAGAATGGAGGAGAAGGGACTGCGGTGTGGCCATCCCCCCTGGGGAGTGATTTCTCCCTTTCTGTCTCTCTGTCTCTCTCTGTCTGGCAAGCGCACACGCCCTATAGCAAAAAACCACTCCAAAAACAAAAAAGAACAGTGAGGTACTCTAGTATGAATGTGGCCTCTCCCTCAGAATGCATACTATGGTACTGTCCTCATCCCTTTTCTTGTGATGACACGAGATAATGCCTTCGTGATGAGGTGGAGTGAGGTAACTGACATAGGTTACTATTGACCTCCTGACAGTAGATTAGAAGGAAGATCATCTGTTTCTGGTGATTCTTGATCATCTTGATCAGCCATGACAATTTTTTGGATCTCAGTTGACTCCAGATAACTAAAACTGCGAAAAGCAAAAGTGCAGATAAAGGGAGATTACTTTACATTAAATGGACTATGGAGCAGTAGTAAACCAGAGAATTCTTTATTTTGAAGTCCTATTGCTTCCCCACTACCATTCC